TAAAACCAATTGAAATCATTCTCTGGCACATAGATGATACGTCACTGACATAGAAATTTATTGATTTAGTAGATATGGAACAAGAACGTGATAAAAAAGACGTGATACAACTATTCTTCTCGTGAAAGGTTAGTAGTATGCTTATTTGATTTTTTTAAAGGTGTTTGTCATTTGAGTGAAGAGTGTCCGGTAATGTAGAATTTGATTCTCTTCTCTAACGAGCACTTGCTCCTTCCTCTGAAATACATTTTTATAAGTATTTATTAACCATATATAATTATCTCACCTGATTAGTTGAAGAAAAAAAGTGATTTTGTAGTTTCTTGGTAATAAATTTGAGATTAATATCTGATTCCGAGTTAGATTTTGTGTTTGAAAGAGCTATTATCAATATGAGGATATTTAACATTTGAAATATTAGAAAAAATACTCGAATCTGATGAGAAATTTAGAGATGTAAGATACTAAAGTTGTGAGAACTAGGGATGTACAACTGACGCTGGTATGAGTGTGAGCTGTATAATCCTATTCCGTACATGACAATGCTTACGACTGTAATTTGTCGCATAATATAGCCCCGTGTCTGAAAATATTCAACTTATTTATTTGAAGATTCATCTAATGATAAATATTTATTGTTAGATGAATTCATATATTGGAATAATTCTTAATCCATTTCATTGATGAATTTTTTTATAAAAATTAACTTTTTAAATTGTAAAATAGAAACTTGATGCAAGAATTTCCTGAAAAAAATGGAATCAATTAAAAAAAAAACGTTTGAAACGAATAAATTTAGAAATGAACAATTTTTTGTTTATTTTCTTGTTGAATTTTTTGATAAGTTATATCAAATATAGGTTCATGAAGAAATCCATTTCTATGATAATGTGTTCGAGTACTTATATATGGTATAAGTTTTTCATATGCATCTCGTAATTCTTTCATCGCTTGTGTCCTTTGCTCTAAGATATTTTTATCATGTTTTTTACATGCCCATTCATAAGTTACACGAAGATAGTTTATCGAAGCTTGTTTATGATTTTCTTTTGCTTTTTCATTTCCAGAAGAATCATCACGAAGTGCAGACAACATAATATTATCTTGTTCTGTTGGTGGTATATAATTAAAATCTTGTTTATTACCATTTAATCGTTTTGGTATATTTGATAAATCAATAAATTTAGTTAAATCCTCAAGATTATTAATAAAATGAAATTTACTTTCAACAACTGGATCTAACCATAGTTTAATAATATGCCAACAACTATTAAATAACCATGGAGCATTAACAATAAGTGCAAGACCAAGTGATTCAGGATAATGATTTTGTAGAAGATTTAAAATGAAATGTGTATGTTGATAATCCATATTTTTCATTGAAAAACCGGTCATATCAAAAATAACTGTCACAGATTCAATTGGACTTTGTAATAATTTTCGTCCTATTTCCATGGAAAACACAGTTAATTTTTCTGTTGATTCTGATGAAAATTGACCTTTTATATGGTCCTTTACCGAAACATAATCTATTGGACGACCATCCCGATCATAACCAATATAAAATGTTTTACCTGTTAGAATTTCTTCGTAACAAAGTTCAGATTCTCCTTTAGAAACAAGTTGATTAACACTGCATTGAAATCTCCATTTTAATGTATCAATAAGTTGTTCTAAAGCAAGATTAACATTCCATTTTCTTGCTCGAAGCCATCGTAGTACAGTAACATCGGGATTATTATAACCAAATGTATAAAATAATTCTTTTCCATAAATTGAATCATAGAAATTTTCCAATGAAGTTTTATTTTCACTGATTATTTTATCAATAATAGATATCCAAAAACTTTTAAGATTTTCTTCTTGATCTTTATTAAGATTATCTTAATAAATAATTATCTATTTAAATATTTTATTAATTATTTAATAAAATAGCTTACTTATATGTCCAGGATCGTTGGCACTCATTCTTTTATGTTTTATTTTTTTATCTTTAAATAAATATCACAAATACTTATTTGACTTCAATCAGTATAACAATCATTTTTATCTTATCATTCGAACTACATTAAAAAAAAGAAAAAAAAAAAATTTCTACATTTGACTATCCGTAAATAGTTTAAAGTTAATAAAAAAAA